GCGTCTCGTCGGGGGGCATTCGGCCGCGGTTTGTTGGGCGGGTGGATGGCTGGTCGGCATCTGGAGGACTTGTGGATGGATGGATGGATGGGTGGACTTGGCGTGGTGAGGGCTGGCTGGCCGGGGTGAACATTTGAGATATCCTTGTGACTGACACTGTCTTTACATACACACATGAGCTTGTGGCTGGAACTGGGGGGGGGGTTCCTGGCCCGGGAGGAATTGCATCCTGCAATACATAGAGGGAGGATCTGCGGGTGTATGCTTTTCTCACGTCTAGCGTGTGCATACAGCTAGAATGTCCTTAGAGGAAGCGCCGAAAATACATGATGTGATGACAATCAGGAGCAATGCTGGAGAGCTGGTTGAGAACGCGTGACTGCTCTTCATGGCGGGGGTCGTCTGTCTGTGCCCGCTCTTCTCTCTGCATAAGGTAGGGGGGTCCCATACCACCCCCTGATTCCACTCATGTACCTCTCTCTTCGGCTCGGACCTACCTAGGTAGTTACCAAGCTTTCCAGGCGTTTACTACCTAGCAATGTGCTGGTATTGCATATGTAATGAGACCGATTCCTGTAGGCGCATCCATGCGTACTGGAACGGTGCCATCATCATCCAGCTTGAGACCGCCGGCGGACGGCGCGGCGGGACGTAGGGATTGGCGAGCCCTGGCTTCTCGTCTTTTGGCCTGCATGTCTTCCTGCGCCCGTAGACCATCGCCGCACCCCGTCTGCTTCACCCGGACGGACCCGGCGGGACGGCGGCCCACAGTTCGGCGTCGCGGCAGGTTTCCATTTCGTATCTCTGCGCTGTTCTCTCATTTACGTCGCTAGCGGATTGGCATGGACCGTGACGCGCTCAATCCGTATCTCCTCCTGCGGCCTGTTCTTCTTGTCGATCGCGACGGCCTCGATCTTGGCGAGCGTCGCGAGGCTCTCGTCGCCGAGCAGCTTGCCGAACACGGTGTTCATGCCGTCCAGATGGGGCGCCGGCGCAAAAGTGATGAAGAACTGGCTGCCGTTGGTGTTGGGCCCCTTGTTAGCCATGCTGAGCACGCCGCGCTCGTGGTGTCGCAGCCCCGGGCGGATCTCGTCGTCAAAGGTCGGCCCGTGGATGGACCGGCCGCCCTTGGGGTTGTCTGGGGGGGTGGGCTGCGCGGGGGCGCCGGTCTGGACCATGAAGGCGGGTATTAGACGGTGGAATGGGGAGTTGTCGTAGTAGGAGGATGCGCAGAGGGCGAGGAAGTTCTGCGGACGTGGGGGTGTTGGTTAGGGACGAGAGCTCCGAGGGGTCTAGGACATCATAGGGGAGCTTCATACCTCGGCAGTTTTTGGTGTGCTCTCGCAAAATACTTCGATTTTGAGGTCCCCGTGGGTTGTGTGTAGAGTGACGGACATGATGGTGGCGATTCGCAATGGGATGTGGATTGGTTGTTGTTGTTTCTTGTTCGGTTCACAGGGCGATGGGGAATCTTCCTAGGGCTGGTGCGGCTGGTGCGGGGGATTTTTTGGGACTTCCGAACCACAAAGTCTTTACCACCAACGACTGCTCGAGCTCTCTTCTTAATAAGGGGGTGCTCGTCGCTTATGTCATGTCGTGGTGGCCCCTCAGCAACTTGAACCCCCAAAAAACAAGTTAATCACCAGGTCCAGATTCACGTTTTCGCCCTCCTACAATAACGACAGCAGACAGGATTGGAGCGAGTCCTTACAAATACTTGATATTTACGTAGGTAGGTTGGGGGAGCTAGCTGCCTGATACATCTCTTGATCGTGTCCAGGGTCCCTGTCTCATTGGACCTTCCAAGTTGTCCTTGGCATAGGCATCAAGTTACCGTCGCTGACCAGCAGCGCGAGGCTGCCCCAACCCCATTTCTTCGCCGATCGCGTACGTTTGCGGTTTGGGACCCTCAACCGCCTTTTGCTCGACGGAACAAACCTAGTGCACGGCACTACGACTTCTCGCTCACGAGTTGACAATATACGGTACGGTATCCATCTGTATCATACGGCGAACCGGGCTGCCTGCCTAGCAAACCCCTCCTCAGAGATATAGGCACCATCGGTCGGGGTACTTTGGAGACGCGCGCCTTGTAAGTTTTCTTGATACATGTCTTGGATGGACATGACGGTGCATAACCTGCGGGTGGGCATTTCTCCATGAGCTGACTCAATTGTTGTGATATTGCAGTTGCTGTGTTCCACCGAATCCCTGCGTCTGGCGTCAGGAACAACTATCACAGAGGTACCTGCCTTACGCAGTGCGGAGACAGAAGGGAAGCACCCTAGGCGGCTCGACCTGTGTTCTGATTCGGCCTAGGACCTCGTCACAGCTCCTGACAGCTGCAGAACTAGGCCTGGCAACCCGGGCGCATTGTACTGCGAGGTTCGGAGTACCTACTGCGTAAGACGGCCTTCCCGCGCCATCAGCTCCCACAACAATCAATTTGCAGGGCACCAACATTGCACAAAGAAGTCCGAAACACGCCCCTCAACATCAATCGCGACTCCCTGCGCGTCGTCCCGGCGAATGCCAAGCTGATGCCCATGCCCACGCAGCTTCAGCCCTCTTATCGATACAGCGCCGGCAACACCTCCAGGAACCCCTCACCCCCGGTCGATCGCCGCACCCTCCACTCAGCCCCAGCACCGCGAGCCGGCCTCAGATCAGTGGGCCGTCCTTCATGACCGGCGACGGCCGTTGCGCCCGCCTCGACGCCGCCGACGACGCCGACGACACCGACGATCATATCGCTTGGCTCTGATTGGACACGCAGCTAACGCCGCGAAGGCGCCAGCACCAGAATGAATGCACAAAATGTGCCTGCGACCGTAAGGATATCGGGGCCGCCCAACAGCAGCTTCCTGGTGGGCTACCCAGGTATTTCGGCCACATTGGTGCGTTGCCGTCTCTGTGTCTGCCCCCGCTGATCGCATGGATCGCGTGGGGGCCTTCCCTGCATCTCGCTGACCTCGCGCCACAGCCTAGGATTATGGGCAAAGTCGAGATTCGTCCGGGCGCAGGCTTCTCAGCCCCCGCAAACGTATCGATGGTGCGCATCTGCTTACAACGACGAGAGACGATACATCCCGCGGCCGAAAATGTTGCGAAACGCCATCTTGGAACACCGCGACGGGAGACGGTCGATCTGGTCGGCAAGGAAGTGCTGCTCTTTCGGTGTGTTTCGGGGAAGGAGTCCGAGAGCGTCATCGCAATGGACCTGCCGTTCCAGATATTTATCCCATTCGGACGTGGGAGCGAAGAAACGAACCGTCGCATCCCGCCCGCGAGCTTGCAACTGCCCAGTCGAATCGCGGAAACGTACTACGAGCTAGTCGTCACCGTGCAACAAGGATCCAGCATGCAGAACCGGTATACCTTTCCCATCCCGCTACAGCGGTACGACACCCTCTCGACGTTTGGCATGTACAACCGCCCAGAGACCAAGGCAGCAACAGCGGACCATATTGTGACGCTGGGCATCTCGCTTCCAAAATGGAGCTATGGCCCGCTAGACCCCATCACCGTCTACGTTAAACTCACGCCAAATCCGGACTACTTAAACAAGGCGAGGAGGGTGACGATACAGAAGCTCACCCTGACCATCGAAGAAGAGATCACGTTCAACCCCGAAGGAGACGAACCAACCAAGAAGATCAACAAGATCGCAAAACACAGCCAAGCAGTCGGGACGAAAATGCCCGAAGCTGGATACATCACGAATCTGGGCCTTGTGCTCCCGGCCCGGGATCTCAGGGACCCGGACGGCATAATAAAAAGGGGGAAACCGGCCTTTCCCATGTACGAGGTGGCCAGCTTTTCTACAACATCCACATTGTACAAAATCGAGTTCTTCCTAAGCATCAAGGTATGATTCCCTTTGCTGTCTTGTGACTGACCGGGCGTCTGACCAGCGTCAGGCTCACATGACGTCTGCCCGGGATATAACACTACGCCAACCAATCGTGGTATGTCCGATGGACCAGCAGGCGTGCAAGGAGGAGATGGACGCCATAGAGCAAGCCGCGAAGGACGCGTCACACGTCGACCCGAACAATCCTCTCCTACCCGACCGCACCATCATCCTGGCCAGCGAACGAGAAGCGATTCGCCACCTTGGGCTTTGTGAAGTTGGGGGGGTCAAGAAGATGCTGATTGAGTGATGCTCGGCCATGGAACCGAACGATTTGGGAAATGGGGTAGACGCGACACGGCGATGGGTTTGACCGGCTTTGCGCCACTCGATCGAGGCTCGAGCCGTTTCGCGACTGAGGATTGCGCCGCGAAGTTGAGTTGAGGATTTCACTGCACCTGCCGGAGCGCGGAAGCTGGGAGTCGTGCTGCAATTTGGCGGCCACGCAGCCGCACCCGCCTGCGTTCCCTCGGTTGCATCGCGGATATGACGGGCGAATATCGGATGAGGAATGAAGAGCGCTGCGGCCGACATCGCCGCTCACGATGGGACGTGTTCATGAAAGACGAGAGCCATGCGTCCTGATGGGCCGACGTCGCCGATGGGCTACGCACGATATGAATGCAGACGAGCGAGGCCACGAGCTCGAGTCCTGTATAGAAGGCAAGCCGCATGGGAGGATCTGTGGCAAGCCCTCTATCTGTTTACAGCACGGTTTAAGGGGCTGTTGTATGTGGTGCTGCGGGTTGGCTGGGTTGAGTCATTTACATACGGCCTGGCGTTTGTGTGTTTGGTGTTCTCGGGTTTGGTTCCTGGACTGGGCCGGTAGCGCTTTGTTATGGCGCGTCAGACGGACCTGTTTGCAGGTAAATAGTGATTAGTGGCTCGGGTGAGTGATACAATGAAGTCAATTCCAAGATATACCCCTTTTCCCCTCATTGTATCTTTTTTTTTCTCCTCGTTCCTTCTGAGATATTGTTTGGAGAACAATGATATATCTCATCAGACTGTAAAAAGCAAATCCAGGAGGGGATGTTTGCTTAGAAACGATACCGATGTATTGAATGAAGGAGGCAAAAGATTTGTTTGACAAGGACGAGATTCGAACTCGCGCGGTTTCCCATTGGTGATCGGATTTCCTCCTAAAACCAACGCCTTAACCACTCGGCCACCTTGCCTGTGACAAATCCTTCCAGAACTGCGAACCATGACGAGCAATGGCTGGCCTTACTCATCTCTCGTCGGATATACCTGCCAGACAATTTATGTTCAAAGGGAGGCCTGGCCACTATATTGAACAAACTGACTGTCGCGCAAACTCGACTTTTTGCGTCCTGTATTTGCCTGTTTGGTTAGATGCAGTTCGGGGCTAGTATCGACGACTCTTTAATGGCATATATGATAATTACATGGAGGTCATGTCCGGGATTCCATTTGTACTAATTACGTCAGAAACTGCCAGGCATTTTGCGGGGCGCCAAGAGTTTACTTTGACATTTCTTCGATTGCAAACTCGCAACAGCTCAAAGCACTGCAACTCTTCGGCGCATTTCCCTTTTCCGAACCTCGAAACCTCCACCATCAGCAAACCGACAACCCAAAACAACCGCCACAATGCCCCTCGACGACGACGACAACCCGGCCCTCCCTGGCCCCCAACCCACTAACAAAACCACCACCACCAACACCACCACCACCACCACCACACCCGGGCCCTCCACAGCCGCCGCGGCCGTCCCCGATGACCTTACCGCCGAAGACCTGATAGAGGACGAGGGCGCCGCGGCCCAGGACTTCCGCCTGTTCCGCAAGACCCCCGGCGTGTCGGCGCAGACCATCCGCAAGGGCGAGAAGGACTTTGAGTCGCACGGCACGCGCGCGCAGGCGGACGCGCTGGAGCAGAGCCGCGCCGCCATGGGCGAGGTGCTGGCGTACACGCGGGTGCACGCGGGACCGCAGAGGAACCTGGCGCGGGGGTGGGTTTTTCAAGGGTGGTGGGCTGGGTTTGGGGAGGGGGAGGAGGAGGTTGGGGCTGGGGACGGGGGGGGTGCGGGGGCCGGGAGGGAGAGGAAGCCGTATGGGTTTGTGCGGGAGAGGGTGGTTGTTTTGGAGGGGGGGTCGGTCGCCAGCATGAATCTGGGGAGGGCGGTGACGGGGCAGGCCAAGGATCGGCCGGCCAGGGGGAAGGATTGGTTGTTGCCGGAGGAGGCGCTGTATTTGGTGGAGAGGGGGTCGTTGGATCTGTGGTGGCCGTTGAAGGGGCTGGAGGAGATTTTCCCTCCCGAGACGGCGGCAGCAACGGCGACTGCTGGCAAGGAGGGGGGTGAAGGCGCAAAGGAGGAAGATGGGGCAGCGGAGGCGGACGAGTACGAGCTGGGCTTTCCGCTCAGTCTGCAGGCCGCGTACGCGCTGCTCATCGGCAACGATGGCGAGCGAGGCAAGGTCAGCCTGCAAAAGTTCCAAGTCTACTCGAACCTCAAGCGATGCGGCTACAACGTCCTACGCGCCCCGCCAGCACCAAAGCAGCCCCCCGCAACCCCCAGCACCCCAATAACAACCACCCTCTGGCAGTGGTTCGCCAACCTCCTCACCTCCAACCCGCACCACCAACCCTACGGCCCGCTCGTCCAGCCGGGCCTCCACCGCTCCTACGCCTCCATCTACCGCCAAATGGCCCTCCTCCCCCTGCACCAACCCTCCGCGACCCCCTCATCCCCGCCACCCAAAGATCCCTTCGCGATCCACTACCACGTCTGGAAGGCCGCACAGAAATGGACCAAGCTCCGGCACCCACCCCCCGACTTCCAGCTGGCCGTCGTCGACGCGCAGGAGTCGGCCGTGCCCACGCTCGAGGAGGCCACGGCGCTGCTCGACGCAACACCGCTGGCGCCGGGACGGGCCGAGTGGGCTGGCCACCCGGGACGGATGTACGCGCGGCTGAAGCACGGGCATCGCCATGTGCTGGTGGCGGTGGTAGACCATGGGGTGATCAACTATATGCGGGTTGGGGAGGCGGCGTTTGGGGAGGAGAGGTTGTGGAAGCGGTTTGATGGGTTTCGGGGCGGGAGTGGGGGGAAGAGGGGTGGCAGGAATAACGGGCG